CTAAAGACTTTGACTTTCTGGTGGCAATAATCAATGCAATGCTTAGAAATAAGTACTTTCCTAAGGCGTCATGATCCCAAAGAAGGTAGGTTCGATATTCGTCCAGGATTACCATCCCACTAGCCTTCTGCCATGTGATTCCTGAAGAGCAATTTGGCTTTCGGTTTGGGCATAGTAAGGAGCTACAGGCAGACGGTGGAGCATGTAACCAGGCGGTTCACCCTCAACAAGAGTACTGGTATATTGCCCTTAGATGTATCAAAGGCATTTAACAAGGTGTGGCACATGGGCCTCTTGTATAAGCTCATCCACAAGGGCTTTCCATTTTGGCTTCCAAAACTGTTGGAATCTGTTCTAGAAGGAAAGATGTTTTGGATCAAAATTGACAATGCTTTGGCCGTAAGAGATTGTGTTCCTCAGGGCTTGGTCCTAGTACCAATCCTTTATTCACTTTATATACATACATGACGTCCCTTGTCCCAAAGACTGTGAAGTCCAGCTCTATGCTGACGATACTGCACTAGTAGCCCTATCGTGTTCTGGGAACCTGTTTCATGACATGCTGCAGAGCGCGGTGGAGGAAGTATTGGAGTATTGGCGGATCGGTGGCTGATTGAAATTATCAATTCTAAAACGCAATATATTGTACTAAAAAACGTCGCGATGTCCCATCAGAGATATCAGTGAATGGAACTCGTATACCATGAAACAATCTATAATACACCTTGGAGTGATCACTGACAAGGCAAAAATATACTGATATTTTGAAAACTAAATTCCAAGTTATGTTTCGGCAGCTTTATCATTTGCTGTGAAGACACTCAAACTTGAGTTTGATCAACAATATCGGTTGTATAAAATGGTCATAAGACCTGAAATCACCTAAGCATGCGCGGCTTGGTGCTTTCTCGTTAAGACGCACATGCAGAGACTGCAAGTCCTGCAAAAGATAATCCTACGCACAATCTCCAATTCCCCGTGATACGTGTCAAATGATAGCATTCACAGAGATCTTGACATGCCACATACAGGGATATTACGTTAAACAACACGCACAGCGGCATTATCGTCAAGCAACCCTCTGTTGCGCGATTCAGTAGACTACACGGTCGATCAAGTTCGCAGACATTCCAGGCCGCGCCCCGCACTGATGAAAACTCAATTGTGAATTTCAGACCAAAACCAAAATTATTTCAGTATGCGAAACCGAACAAAATTATTTTTGGAATAACAAAATTATTCGAGTCGTCAAATCAATGATGCGTTCTCTACTTCAAAAGATTTACTTCTTTTCTTTGCTCTATTTCTTCCTTCTTTCCCTTTTCCCCTTTAACATGTTTGGTATCTGGGTAGCCAGACCTCACAGACTAACAGACCGAGCACACGACTACCAGACTGCTCTGACAAACAATGACGAATAGTCAAACATGCTCCAGCAGCATAGCAAAGCAAAAATATTACATGTTCAAAAGCACGATAAGATGAAGGCTAACTTGTGATTGAAAAACCGCGAGTACTGTTGCAATCTTCGTTTTATGTAAGAAAAAATTCAATTCATTACTGACAAATGAATTCTTATTATGTCATAGATCAACAAACGAGTGACCCCCATCCCATCAATACAGTCATAATAGAAGGGGTGCTGATCCGACACGTTTGTACAGTGTATCGCGTTCCCTTGCATGCATCCTGAAGTGCGGGGCAACCGGGGTTGCAAGGCTGCAACGCGTGTGTTGACAAAGCCACCCTTTTGTACCCTTATCTAAAATTGCACATTTACACCCTCGCACCCACGTCCGCTCGCATATTGTTGCGTTTTTCTCGTGAATAACAGGATTTTGTGAACTCTTTCCCTGGGTGTGTAAGGGGTCAGGGGCGTAGAAAGGATATGGATGAGGGTAATAATAAAGGCTTTCTTTTCTATAAGATCGCATAATTAGAATTTCAATATGACGTTTCGTCTCTTGTCCTCCAGCATCAACTTTAGTTTAGCGTCCATATGAAAAAACAAAGTTGGTGATGGAAGTCGAAAGACGAAATTGAAGTGAAATTTTGACTACTCCACCTTGTAGAGAGAGAATGAGTAACAATATCAACATGCAATTTATCCATCTCAAATAAAGTCAAGAAAAAATTAAAATGATTTTGTGATAAATCTGGTATGCGAAATAAATTACTATCTGATGATTCAAGGCCTGCCTAGGAAATTCTGCTTTTTTGAAATAATTAAGGTTTGGCAAAGTCAACGTATGACGTATTTACATTTTTAGAATCAGAATTAAAAACTCTATTCATCTGTGCAAAAATCCAATATGGGATCCATAAGAAAAAGTTGATGCTGGAGGACAAGACACGAAACGTCATATTGAAAATCTAATTGTGCCATCTTGTAGAGGAGATAAAGTGGTAATGTCAATGTGTAATTTATTTTAAACCCCACTACAAATATAGCCAGGAAACAAGTAAAATTATTTGGAGAAAATTCGGTTTTATCCGTCTCTCTCCGGACATAGTTTGAATTTCGAAACTTTCTAAGCAGCATTTCGCTGATTACCTAAATACGCAACCCTATTTAAGCGACTTCGTATCTGTTACAGTTTCCAAGATCCCAATTGTGAGGGTCGAATTTGTAACACCCTGTATAGAAGGCAGGAAATATCATGCTTTTTCGAAAACCGCATCATCTAAGGACTCACGAAAATCCTTTCAACTTGCCTGAGGAGATTTCGAGAACTATTTCGAGTTAGACAAATTTTGGCCGAGAAATTAATTACTTTGGTAAAACCACATATCCCAGAAAGAGAAAATGTGAGAGGAATTAAGATAGAAAATATGGTGTTATGTGTTTCCCTCGTCTTAATTTCTACCAATCCCAAAAGCGCAATTTTAAATTACAAATGGTTTATAGATGAAAAAATTGTATTGCAACACCTGTCAGCAGTTTTTTCGAGCAGCAAAACTTGACAGCTGTTGTCACCCAAAATTACGATACCTTTGATAACAAGTTATTATGGCTATGTGTATGCACAATTCCTATGAAATAGACTTGTCAAATACCATAGATGGCTTATGATTTTACTTATGCATATAACCTTAGTATGGGACAGATTACCGTACACAAGTTATCTCATAACAGATGCCCATTTTATCTCACAAAAGATATTTTTCCCACAAACTGCCATACGCCATATCCCAATTTTTCTCAATGCAGTTTATCAATATTTTCCATTGCTTGGGGTTGGTGTAAATATTTAATTAAATAACATTTAAACCGAAAATAATTTCTAATCTAACCTATTTTCTTATTGTTTACTGAAAAAATATCAGTGTCAGGCGCATGTCCATCAAAAACTGTCAAAAACCAGTCGTAGTTTTCGATTCTCTATTCAATAGATTTTCGTCAACAACTCAATAGACTCTATTTTCAATTCTTCGATTTAGTCGAGACGAGTAACGTGATTCATGTACTTCTGTCATCCTGAAAGTTTTTAGAGCATGCAGGTGATTCTTGCATATCTACAATCTCGATTAAAATCCACTTTTCAGGTAAATCGGGTGCATATATCACGAATCTGTTATCATTTTTTGGCTGGGATTGGAGGAAGGCTCCTGAGGCTCATTTACCTACAGAAACTAGAGCTTCGAGAGACGCAAGGTTTTTTTCGTGGCCATATTGGCATTCAGCGCCCCAAGTTAAGCTAGTATTAAAATAAAAGCTTGTGGTAAGGGGAATCAAGGAATGTGAAAATACTTGGGCTGTTCCATTTAAGATTTTTGAGAAATTGTTCATTTTGCCTTCTTGACCACCCTGTATAAACTGTTCAAACAACTCAAGCAGAGGGGTTAGGTACAAAGTATGCATCATAAAATTGTTTAACGAAAAATTCAGTACTCTAGGAGATGCGAGTTGTCAAAGCTCAGTGCTTTATTCGATGGACTGTCAAATATATCTCAACAATTTTGAAATAGAACCCTATATAATGTTAATAAACGTCTTTTATTGAGGTCGAAGTTTAGCTTGAAGCTATTCTGCCACTTAGCCTATGAAAAGTACCAAAAATTAAAATAATCATAAACATGCAAAAGTAATATACCTAAGTATACATACATATAATATAGTAGTCAAAGTAGATAATGAAAATTTAATTATTCATTTGAATGTACACTGAAAAGGAAAGATTTTGCAAAGTGGGGGTCATTCTATACCAGTGATTATTCTTCTAAAATGAATTGTTTAATGTGTAATTTGTAATTTAATGCTTTTAATGTCTGAGGTGTAGCCGCGTTGCATGTGAAACACTTTCAACTAACACTAGTCTTTCAAAGAAATGCTTATATGGTCATATTTTCTCAAATTGTTTGTTAGTCTGCAGCATGAATTTTGAATTTTTGTGATTATGAAAGATATATTGTAAACCATTGTGGACATAATTAATAATTTGCATAAAATTCTTTTAGATTGATAATCGAGAATTTGCTTGAGACACTCATCAAAAAAGAATTTCCAAGTTTTATACCCCCCCCCCCCCCAAATCTAAACTAAAGTTGTTTTAACATGATTTCTAGAAGCTTTGGGTGAAAAAATAGTCACTTATATTATATATGTTGTATAAAATTGCTTCGTCTGAAAAAGTTTGTATAAATTAGCAATATAATGGTAATGTTTTCCATTTAAAAAAGCAATCATGTTATGAATCACCCTGTAGAGATAAAAATGTGTGTGTAAGAAGCTTACTGCTGGCTACAACTTTTTTAGATATTATGCCCAATAATGGCAGCTAAATTATGTCAGGCAACCCTGCTGTAATTTATTCTATTATTTGATTCATAAAAATCAAGTTTTATCAAAACAACACATTCCTGCAGATCAACAGGCCGATCTCCTAGTCGTTTTTCCATCATCTTTCTATCAAATCGTTTTTTCCGCATCTACGAGTGACACGTTTGACCCCCAGCAACACTAGCGCACCTAGCGGGAGCAAAATCAGACATCTCCGCCATTAGCTTGTACATTTTGATCGAACTACTCGATAGACTGAAATAAAAATATGTTCAAGAAAGAGCAACTCACCTAGATCTGGAATAGAGCTGCTGGGCTCCTCGAGCCTGCTTTCCATGGGTGGCGGCTTCACCTTGGGCGGCGGTGGAGGCGGCGGGGGCCGCATGTGCCCCACGCTGGGCGGCGAACTCGTCGACGACGACACGATGGCCCCTCGATACTCCTTGGTCTCCATTTTGTACACGATCGCGGCGGTCTGCATCTCGGCCTGTTATTTACTCGCGAAACGTCTCTATTGCATAGTCTTCGTATTGCACGCGCCGGAAAGACCTAATCACCTAATGGCACCGTTTGTGATACTTGTCAAACAGCTGTCAAATTGTTACCAGGCTGGTGCGACTTCAATCGTTGCTATTTTATAGAGTATACACTGGGTATTGGAATATTCTTATTTATTTTAAAACGTACCACGTAAGGCTGAGAATATTACTGAGCTTATTCTACCTAGGTTCTATGTTGAATATATATGAGATATATACAGTATTGATATACAATGCCCCCTGATTTTTCCTTTTTGGAGCTATTCCATGTTTTTCAGAATTCTTAACGAGTTTGTCTCCGACTTTGTCGATTGCACTTATAATAAATACCCTGGTAGTATGAAATTTTTTCTCAGTACTTTATTGTGGCTGGTTCCTAGAACTTAATGGTCGATCTTAAATCAAGATGATCTGGGAATTAGGAAACGTTTCACAATTTTACGGCAGTGTTTAACCCTGAGTGTGGCTTTACATCTCGTGTATCTCTCACTATCTAATTCTTTCTCATAGTCATTTCCATATATCTTCTGGTTTATATCCTTCAAAAATTAGTCCTTGAGATCCTTCTTGATTATAAACCGTGATAACACCGAGTGGGTGTTTTGACAGAACTTTTTAACTTTGACCTTGTTGACTATGCTTTTAGAAAACAAGATCTCTTCTTGTTTCTTCAATCTACTTAGTACGGGTGGTGTGCAAATAGTTTGACTAGAACATTTTTACACCGTTTTTTCAGTTGCTGGTGATGATCTAATGAGCTTGCTGTAGAATTTTGGACCCTCAGGATAATGTAGAAATCCTGTAATACCGTTTTTCTTGACACAAAAACTTTTTCTAGATTTCACCTTGAAGCAATTCTGCTGATGGCCAAATGAGACAAAAAATAATACGGGACTCATTCGTATTGAGTAAAAAGTTTATTCCAGATCTGTCCTTGAGTTTTTCCAATGACCATGAAGTAGCTCAGGTGCTCATCAGGTGTAAATCCATTAGTTTAAAAAAATAATGAAAGATTCTTCCGTGTTAATTTTCTTGGCACAAAATTAGCTTCTTTTGAGTTTTCTGGATTTTCTTATGAGCTTGGGGCAGCTAAGCTAAGCCTGACCTTGAGCTTTTCCTGAAACCTTGAAGCAGTTTAGGCGTCGATCGGATGGAAATCAAATATTCTCATATGATAGTATCAATATGTTCTTCATGGCACAAAAACAGCCTTTTCTACGTCTGACCTTGAGCTTTTTGGATGGCCTTGAAACAGTCCATATCCACTCACTATACTGTCCACTCGCGCCTGGTGATATCAGTTCGCGCGCGTTCGGTAACGTCGTCGTGCTGTTGCGACCGAAACGGGAACGAAAGTGAAACCGAAGTGCAGTACAGTCTGTCGAGGGGTTGCATCCGAGCAATGACGCGTGCGTGGTGCCAGGCAAGGGTAGGCGGTGGTGTGTTCGAGCCCTTCGACTGTCGGCCGTGCACTCTTCTGTCCTTCTGTGTCTCGGGGGTGAGAGATCGACGCCGTCGGTCGCCGACGTCGCCGTCGTTGCGGTGTTGCCAAGTCTGGAGCCGACAAATGCCGGTGGTGGGGGTGTCTGGAAAAAGGGAAAGCGCCGTTAGACGGATGGAAAAGTGTGCGCAACAATGCAATGGAATGCAATTTCAATTTGCTCTCCATACTCGAAGGGAAAATTAATTTTCAACACTTCAATCTTTTTTAAGAAACGTAGCCCTGTGTTTTCCATATTGAGGAAGATAACAGTTCATATGCTAGAGTGCATGCGATCTGCAAAATTCTGGGCGAAATATGAATACCTACCTCTTTTTGTCAATGAAAATTACATGATGAGAGCCCAAAAGATAGCAGCCCTGAACTTGTCCGTCAATACTTTTTTGCTCTAATTTTTACTTACTCCATTTCATTTTTTAATTCACAAAAACTGATTCGAATAAAAACTTGAGCAAAAAATTGCGTCAAGTTGGTTGACTCTGCACTCCTTACGCAACATCGTCATCAGTTTATAAAGGATTGAGTTCAGCATATATAATTAACCCTATGAGAAACAATAATTTACAAATGTAGACAACAGAGATAATTAAACGAACCCAATCAGTCAAACAGGAATATAGACATTCCTTCCTTGACCCAGCGGTAGTTACCGTCCATCAGGCAACGTTGCCCTTACCATTACGTCGGACGCGGCAGCAGTTTTAAAGAAAAATGTACGGGGAAATCTATGACGTGTGAAATGCGACTGATATTCTAACATCGAGAAAGTGATATATACCCTCCCCCACCCCCTAAAACTCCCACTCTCTAACTTTTTACTCCTAAGATTTTTTTCTAAAATGATCAGGATCCTCTTAGTCGTCAAAAAATAACGTTTGAACGAGTTTTATTGTTTCCGTTTTTGGCTTTTTTCTCCGCGGATACTAGATCGATTTTCAAAAACGTCCTTGCGTAAAAGTAACCTCGTGTAAAAAGTTCATCCAAATCCGAGCAGTATTTGTTGTCGTACGGAATTTCACCTGCCTAGTTAGGAACACATTGATGGTGCTGATTTCTCTTAAAATAAAAATCATTCTGAAATCCCCAATCATATCAAATAAATTTTAATGCATGCTTTTTCAATCCGATGCGCGATTTTCGCTTAAAAAAATGTAAACCGTTTCTCTGTACAATATCGTGAATATGACAATATCAGCATGTGGAGAAATAGCTTCCACTTTTTAGGTGAAAAAAGTGGGTCGGATTAAAAAATAATCAAAAGATCAAATCTGCTTAGAAATGAATACACATTTCAATTTATATGTTTTTATGTTAAGACAAATCAGTGCCGTGCTACTGATTTATTTCTGAAAAGTTTAGCACCCTCTATCTCAAAAGTTATGACATTTAGGACACATATTTGTAACTACTATTCGTCATTGTTCGTCAGAGCGGTCCGGTGGACCTTTGCTCTTAGTTAAAGGTCTCGTCGGTCTGTTAGTCTGTCAGGTCTGGCTACCCAGATACCAAACATGTTTAAGGGGAAAAGGGAAAGAAATAAAGAAAGGAAGGAAGAAATAGAGCAAAGAAAAGAAGCAAATCATTTGCAATAGGTTAAGCATTATTGCATTGACTACTCGAATTATTTTGTAACTCCAAAAATAATTTTGATCGGTTTTGTATACTGAAATAATTTTGGCTGGTCTGAATTTATAATTTAATTTTGATCACAGTGCGAGGAGCGACCTGGAATGTTTGCGAACTTGCTCGACTGTGTAGTCTACTGAATCACGCAATAGAGTGTTGCTGTGCGATTCGGCTTGAGACATATCTGTTCCTCAGAGCCAGACTAGGTTAAGTTCAAATAAGTAGTTTTGAGATAATTATTTATGAAATATTTTTCTTGCATTGTATTGAATATGACTTGAGTTAAAAAGTCCTAACTTCCTTATTATTAAAGATAGATGGACGCTGCATGTAGCAAATGAAAATGTACAATATTATCATAAGCTTAACATATTAAACTCATTTTTCACAAAAAATGACTTAACCTAGTCTGGCTCTGGAGTACAGATATTTGTATGAAGTTCTCTTTTTAAAATGGACCCAAAAATCGTCCCCTTAAAGATTGACATTTAATTAGGGATCACCTTGTACATCAAATTTCCAATAAAATTGTCCGAAAACCATTTCCAACAAGAATTCTGGGCCATCATTAGAAAACCGCAATTGGTATGGTATAACATGCTCATTATAGGGGCCCATTCGTTTCCGAATGATTTCTGAAACTAAGTACGTTAGCAATCGTACGCCAGAACTACATATACCAAAAATATTTTCGAAACAATTCCAAAGTATTTTTCTCAATTAAGTTGGATTTCAAAGAGAAACAGATTTAAAATGAGCAATACATTTCGCATACATCACTTTTTTTCCGACCACTGCCAGGTTGCCAAATTATTTAGACTATAAAAATAAATCTAGGAGAAAAGTTTTTATGAATGTGAAGGACATTAATGTAATTAATAATTATGCAACAAACTGATGTTTACAATTTATAATGAATGCGTTTTCGAAAAATATTCTGAAATATTAATAAAATCAAGTTTTAAGGAACTTTATCTAGGGCATTGTGTTCAATAATGTTAATTCTGGATTAGAGATATGACGCTCGTTAATGAAATCGTCATCCTCGTCATGATTTCAAAATTTTAAAAAAATTTTGAAAATGAGATATGTTTTTTGGATTTTCTTGATATGTACATCACGAAAAACCAGGTCACTCATTTCTATCGGTTTGTCTGTATGGACGGTTTGTTCGCAAAACCTTAGCACATCCATAAATTGGAAAGTACTGCTCGCATTTGGATGAAATTTTCACGCAAGATTCCTACTATGTCAAGGACAAAAAGCTTTGAGGTATTTCAAAATCGGTCCAGTAGCGGCGGAGAAAAATGACAAAATCGAAAAAAATAATCGCTGAAAATGTGTTTTTCCCCAGCGATTGAGCTCTCGTTCAGTAGGTATTTTTGTATGGGTTTAAAATTGTGGGTTGCGGGTTGAAGGGACCGGAAAGCGAGTATCTCAATTTTTTGATGCTAGTATATTAATACACTTCCAATACAGGTAATTCTACGCACCTATTAGACAAATTTCACACATCATATATTTTCCCGTACATTTATCATTAAAACTTAGACAAGCGTCCGTGCGTCTGTTCTCTGGCTTCACCAGCCGGCGTGCCAGTCTTCATAAGTACGCGTCGTGCGATCAGGTACTGGAGAGAGGCGATGTTGCCAGATGGATGAGACTACCGGTACGACAGGGAAATAATGTCTATAGACTAATTTTATGGACCTGTTTGACTGACTTGATCCATTGATTTCTCTGTTGTACATGTGCATAACTAACTTTTTTCTCAGAGGGTTTAACTTAAACATATTGCTCTCTTCCCTCCGACCAAAGACAGCCAACCATGTGCAGCTATTTCGTGCGTTTCGGCAACTCGTCAGCACGGTCTAGGCTTGGTCTATGGAATAACGAAAGAAAGCATAGCAACTATTCTCTATCCAGGATATAAAGTCTATGGCGCTGTCCTATTTCAATAGGATCTCACTTATGCTGAGCCTAATCGTTTATTAACTGATGAAGGCGTTGCGTGGGAAGTGAAATCAGCCTTCTTGACGCCATTTTGTCTCTATTATAACTTTATGATACCAACATGAAAATTGGGAACATGTTTACATAGTATTTTTCAATATAATATCTGAAGAGCTCTAGCTACAGTCTATATTCTATAATTCAACCCATATAATATTAATTATATGTGAAAACTAGTTCCGCTTCAAATTTTTCTATTGAAAGTCGTGAACGGCTGATGATTTTTAAATAAAAAAGGGTAATCTACATTCATTTCATTAAAAAAAGAGCCTTTCTGATATATTCCCACTCCAGCATCGCACAGACAATTGGTTGACTCAGAGTCTCTTAATAATAATATGGATAAGAAACCATAACCCAGGACACAACAATGTCATTGGATAACGCCAAAGGCCCTGTTTCAGAATCGCTTGTTATACCTATCTGGCAGTTCATGATAACAGAAGATATAAGTGCATAGTGTAAAGCTGGCTCAAAAAGATGACAAATGAAAAAATGGTTCAAGCTTAATCATTACAGATCTTTAATAGTTACCTTCATTCCCATTGTTTTTTTTTTGTTTGTTGGATCGACGCACCTTTTTTAACTGTAAGGAATGAAGAGCCCATGAATCTACATGAATCAGTGTTTAATGTTGGTGTGGTCACCGACTTCGAATAGATTAGGAGCTAAGCCTATATGTTTACAATGCATTGTTTGTTGACAAAAATGCGTACCTTTATTGCATACTTTAGACTCATTTGACTACCAATGTGACAGCGTTGTATCAACACAATAATAATACTTAAAGGTGGGAACATCCACCTTCGTTAGGTTCACGCCGCTCTTTGCAAATTATGTAAGAACTGCCATGTCCTAAAATCGTGTAACTGCACAATTATCTGCAAACACTCGCACTTTTAAAAAAATAACAGAACATGAATTTTATGACCGAACTGTAAAAAAATTGACTTATGTCAAGTGCATTTGTAGTATGCACTTTGATTCTCACTACAGACTATAATTAGAAGACAAACAAATCCTTGACTGGCTCCTTCTACCTAGTCGTGAATTCGTTGGGTATGATCCATACGGGGAAACGTAGACATCTAGCAATTCACTCCAAATGGTTTGCAACCATCAAATTGAATTAACAAAATTGTTATGGTACTGTCGCTTATCTCTATGCGCCAAACCGAGTTTTTGCTACATATTTCCAACTGTCCACAACGCAACCGTCAAAAACTCCTTATCAATATTATGAATAATTACCATCTACATAAACTGCACTTTAATGAAGCAAAAAAGGTACCTAAATCTACTTGTCACTACTTGAGGTACTAATTTTAGTATATTTTTCCTTGTATAGTTTCTACAGTGCCACTCATTTCCAGATAAAAATAGGCACAATGCATTCTGCACTAGAAAAGAAGCAACAAACATTACCTCAAAACAACGATATCCAAACAAACACCAACACTTGACCAGTCAAAATCACAGAACTGTCACTTTCATCCCGTGAATGCTAGAACAATGTCACTTGCAAACTCGCCAAAAGAAACAAACTCAGAAAACATCCCCGCACCCTGCGCCGTTCTCGTCAGTTTGGCAACGTCGCTTCGCATCAGTCGAGAAGGGCCTCCGTCCCGCGCTGTTGTCCGTACACCATCCACCGAACGGCCTATGTGTGTGTATGTGTATGATGCGACGGCGCTGGCGGAGCGGCACCACGATCGCGGTTGGCCTTGTCCTTGAATTCGGCTCATGAACTCCACTCGCGCTATCGATTCGGGGTCGCCGAGAGCGAGTGCGACGTTGTCAGACGCACAGGATTATCTCTGTAGCTCCGACTTTTCGGTTTTGATCAACGTAAGCGATTCTACTATAAGATCAAAACAAAGTTTTTTAACGACGATTTTTGAGTCGGGGAATAAATTGATGGATTGCTTGATCAATAGATCTCTGCAAAATGAATATAAAGTAGGTAGGCTAGGTTTTTCAATAGGGACTTGACGATGAACTGTCACTGTGAACGCACCTTTAAATCAGTCAACGAACTGCCATTGTCAAAACATTCAGTAAAGGAAACATTTTCATTATGGTGAAGTACACGAACGAACAACGCTTACGATTAATTAAAATTTACTACCGAAATTCCGAGTCGGTGACTGCAACTTTAAGAGCGTTAACGCCAATTTTTGGTCGTAATTCTCGTTCCATTAGACGAGCAATTCATAGTCTAGTAAAGAAGTCCATATATTCGCTGCTGCATGTTCCCATGCCAGTGAGACAACAGGTTGGTCGAAGTGCTGATGAATCATATCGCTGCCGTTCAAGCTTGCGTCGCAAACGGACAGAACACAAAAGATCTTGGCCTGCACCCTTATAAGATCAAGTTAATTCAAAAACTTAAGCCGTTCCATCATATTAACCGACATACGTTCTCGAATTGGGCTCTAGAAATGTTGGAAGAAAATGACCAATTTCATCGCAAAATCATCTTCAGTGATGAGGCGCATTGTCGGTTAAACGGTTTCGTCAACAAATAGAATATGCATTTATGGTCAGGTGAAAACCCTCATGTGTTTCAAGAAACACAACTTCATGACAAAATGACCGTCACGTTATAGTCAACGGACATAGCTACAGAGACATGCTGCAACGTTATTTTTCTGATCAATTGGATAGGCTAGACATTAATGATATGTGGTTTCATCAAGGCGGTGCGACAAGCCACACAGCAGGTGAAACAATCGAAATATTGAACTCAAAATTCGGTGAACGAGTTATATCGAGAAGTGGTCCTGCAGAATGGCCACTTTCTGTCGAAATGTGTGGCCGAGTCATTGAAAATTGTGTTCAACCAATCGATCGCTGCGAACGTGCCCGTGGTGGACATATGAACGAGGTCGAATTCCATACATAAATGTTTTGTGTATACTTCAATCCAGTAATGAAATTTTCGAGATATCTCAAATAGTTTGCGTTTTATTCAAAAAGAAAGGTGTCAAGTTCTTAACGGAAAACCCTTCATTTACAAACTTTACAACTACGGTGTGCAGAGTTACCTCTTGAATTGGATAAGTAATTACTTATCGGTTAGATCTCAGATAAAAAAATATCGTGGGTGTACATCTCGTATTATTCGTGGATCTTTTGGGGTTCCGCAGGGTTCTCACTTAGGTCCATTGTTATTTAATACATTTATTAATAGTCTTGTGAGTTTAGTACGCAGTGAAATTTTTACTTGCGGCTGATGTTAAGATTTTTTGAATGATTGGCAACAAACATGATGCTGTTTTGCTACAAAGAGACCTAGACCATATTTCTGATAGGCGTGGCATGAATGTTTTACTTTTAGACGATGCGAAATCTGTCAAAATTACATTTATTCGGTCTCGTTCTCCCATTATTTATTCTTATAGCATCAACGGTAGATCTTTACAAACTACAGACCAGATCAAAGACTTAATTTTGACTCAAAATCATCATTTAACGTACATGTTAAAAAAGTAATCTACTGTGCATATAAGAACTAAGGTTTTATAAATCGTCATTGCCTTGGTCTGTCACTTTTTTCTTTTAAAATTTTGTATTCTTTGGTTTATTCATTGAGTATTGCTGCTGCCAAGATATAACTTAAAAATTAACCAATTACAGCGTGTGTAGAAATTTTTGTGTGAATATAAAACGGGTTTCATTGGAAAGGTATATAGTTATATTCATACTCTTTTCTACATGAATATGACTTCTCTTAAGCGACGCAGGTTGGAATTTGACTTGCTTTTCTTGCACAAAATTATCAATGTTCACATTGATTGTCCCCAGGAAAAGTTTCACTTAATGTGAATGTTGCGAGAACGCGACATGCTGTTACTTTCTTTGTCCCATTTCGTCAAACCAATTATAGTTTGAATGAACCCATAACCTGTCTTCCTAGGTTAGATAATACATTTAATAATAATTTCAATAGAACACTACAATATAATTCTTTAAATCAATACTGATTTATATTTGTCACAAGGGTCATACCCGTTGATTAGATAAATAAAGCAAAAAAGACATCCAAACATAACAAAAAAGGTTTGTATGAATTTATGACCTAAAATGTACCATTACCCATTACCAAAATACATGTAAATTTCAACGCCATGGGTGATATTGATTAATGACAAAACATGTATATTGTCCAAATAATGTGAGATTGGGTTACTCTGTTAGTATACCACGGATATCTTTCAATGTCAAACTTCACTTCCTAACTTTCACCTAACAAGTGGAACGACTTTCTGTACGGATTTTACCTTAAATATTTAAGTCAATTTTTCTCCAAAAGGTCTGACAAAAAATTCTGAAGAGCATGTAAAGTTGAATATCTCTTTCAAAAAGGTCAGCGGTAAGAAAATAATTGTCTTTTACTTCCCACACCTACTGGCGAGGAGGATTGTAATAGAGAAAAAATTCGAAAATGAAATATGTTTTTTGGATGTTATATAATAAATGTCAGTAATGTCGGTCATTTCTGTAACTCAGTGAGGGGCCATTATAGGATCCCCATCTTAAACATGTTTCGTATCTGGGTAGCCAGACCTGACAGACTAACAGACCCACGATACTTTTAATTAAGAGCAAAGGTCCACCGGACCGCTCTGACGAATAATGACGAATAGTAAGGATCCCCATTTATATGAACCTTGCACCCTAAAATTATGTAAGTATATAATATTTATTTAGCGTACAGCTAAGAACAGAATAGAAGCCTTTTAAAATTTTTATTGCGCACTTTCAAGAATTAGAGTAATGTGATAGAATGTTCAGGTGAAGGGTGTTCTTGAAGGAAGAGGAACAACAGTGATGCAACTCCTTACAGTGATTTAGTTTTCCATTTTCTACAGTCTAACAAGTTTCATAAGCCATCTGGGTGTCCAGAACAACGACAAAAAAAAGTCATTCACTTTGGGATGGAAGAGTACATCCAATTAACAGTTAAGAAGGCTCCAGCAGCTAGTTTAAGAAATCTATTGATACTGGCTGTGATAGTGATCACAGAGACAAAATATAAGAAAATCCCACTCCTGACAACAAACAAATTGACTCGAGCTTAGAAAAAAAAACTGCACGTAATCCATACAGAGGTGAGGCACAGGTTAGTATCGCAGGCTTTTACAGGTGCTGGTCTATCAAATTCGAGGGAACTTCTTCAAAAGCTACCTTCACCCCGCTACATATTGGGCCAACATACGCCAATACCAATATGTAGCGGCTAAACCTAGGAGCAATGGCCGAGAGTATGATGAGGATTCTACAGTCAACGGATGTTAGTGGGCTATCTTTTTATACGTAACTTGATATATGTTACGATACAAAGGTATTCTTAGGGTAGTAGAAGCAGTGGTGGAGGGGGTGGCGAAACCTGACAACTGGGCCACCTTTCTTGTTTATTGCCGACTCCGCTTGACCAACACTATACTCTACATGCTTATCTACTGGCACGACAGTCAGGTTATTGAATATATTAGCTCCGACTATGCGATCACCTAGTTGGTCTTGCCTTGATTCCATCTACCAGCATTTTATATGTGGTGGTAGAGGATACCAGTTTGAGTTGTTCTTTGGGTAACTGTGACCAGTGAATCTCTAGCATCGCCCAAAGTAACGTTAACAATTTGTCAAGAAAACAAAAACGCTTCAAATGTTCGACTTAGATGGTCGTAAGGCGAATTTGGAAATGTTCTTGATTGACTAATACATTGCTATTTATAACCAAGGGTGGTGATTGACCTCATAATTGACTTACAAAAGATACTAAAATCTGTAGAACCAGCTTGCTGCGAATAACAGCATTGAAGGCTAAGGCCGTCTGTCACGATACAAAGTTTTATTCATAATTTGGTACAAAATTTCGTGACAAAAATCATTACTGCATTTAATTCCCAATTTGTTTACCAATTACAATCCTGTCTGACACGTAAAGAAATTTTTGTACTAAATTTGGTACGAAATCATGCGCAGTTGGTAGGAATAACTATAACTGACAACGTCTAACTGCCATTTATCATGTCAAAGACCTTCTAACCACACTTTACTTTGCAGCTTGCTACTTTATTCCTTTATTACTTTAAACGAATAGAAAATTATATATGCGACTACGGCAGCAGCGATCTGAGTTGTGGCTGCCCACCTAATGAGAAAACGAAACGGTAATAGAGCTTGGTGCCGAAAATGGATCACAGAGAGGGGCAATGGGGTGTGCTCCATATGATGAATAAATAACTTCTAGTGGAGGATCCACTGGCTGATTGTTTCTAAAGTCATTCTGATGTTGTCCAACGAAGCTTATTTGGCTTTTCTGTTTCTATAGGCCTTACTTTTTACAGCATATAAACAATCAGATTTTTCATAGTCGTTTAATAATATATCACACTGCTTTTTTGATCATGACATCTTTTAAGTGTTCACTCTACAAGCAAAAAAACACCATAAGCGGGGAAATTTCGCAAAACTAGTTAACACAA